TGTTTTTTTTTTCACTTTTTAAAAAATAAGTTCACTGTTTCAAGAAAAGAGAAAATAACCAATACATAAAATATGAAGCTTAAAGATGCCTAATGTTTAAAAATAACCACTTAATTGTAATCTATATGGGTTTGATGATTATTTTCAAATCACAAAAGCCATTAGAACTGAATACAAAATGATTAATTTTTACAAATTGGATTTGAATTTTAAGCAAAATGCTGTGGAGGAACTGAAGCAGGGGGGAAATGCCACATAACCTTTTCCTACATCAGCACCCAAGGCAAGCACGAGAGAATACTGTCAGTGTAATTGGGGCCAGATCAAACTCGCTTTTAGTTTTCGCAGACATTCTAGACAGCCAAGGGTAAGTTATATAACATCTCCAGGACCACTTTCCAGTCTGTAAAGTGGGAATTATAATCAGTGGCAGCAACCTCTCTTTTTTTTTCGTCAGATAGAATTTTGTAAAGTGCTTAGGTCTACTTTGAAAAAGTTTGTTATACCACTCCCAAGAATGGCAATCATTAGGATTCTTCCGACCTTTGAATCTAAATTCAAAAATCAGCTTCATCTTGTTTTCTGAATCTGCCTGGCTACTTTAGGCATTTGACTAGTTGCTCCCACAGTGCCTATGTAGGTAAGTTGACTCACATCTAAACCAACTGTCAATAATTTCTAGATTTATTTATTTATTTATTTATTTATTTATTTTTTTGGAGAGGTTTTTGCTATAGAGCACATTTATTTATTTATTTATTTATTTATTTATTTATTTATTTATTTATTTATTTATTTATTTATTTATTTATTTATTTATTTATTTATTTATTTATTTATTTATTTATTTATTTATTTATTTATTTATTTATTTTTGGAGAGGTTTTTGCTATAGAGCACATGTGCTCGCCAGAAAGACAGAGAGAGACAGAGAGATAGAAAGAGAGAAATCACCCCCCCCAGGGGGGATGGCCACACCACAATCCCTTCTCCTCCATTCTCCTCTCGGGATCTTGGGCACGCATGAACACGCGCCTGGCATGAGTTTAAGATACCGGATCCGAGACTTGAACAGCGATCGTCTACATGGTAGTCCAGCGACATAGCCATTATGCTAACTGCTGGTCGCAATTTTTAGATTTTTTTAATGTGAGGCACAGTATTTACTGAGAAGCTCCAGGCACTGTACTTCTTCTGGTTTACTGCTGGATACCAAAATCTTCTCCTTGTTTAAAATTTATTCAACACAAACACTAGCTACTATACTCATTTTATATCATGGGACTTCAAAAAGTTTATGGAGAATGGAATTAAAGTATGAGTTCAGGGCCAGCAGGTGGCTAAGGGTTAAGGCACTGGATCTCAGATGATCAGCTTTACAGTTCAAGTCCTGGACCTGGCAGCATGAAAATCACACCAGGTACATGTGTGTGCATGTTCAAAAATCCCAAGAGGAGACTGAAGAAGGAACTACAGCATGGCCACCCCCCCATGGGGTGACTTCTCACTTTTTACTTTCTCTTTCTTTTTTTTCTGGTGAGCACATACACTCTATAGCAGCAGCAACAACAATAACAACAACAACAAATCTAAAGATTAAAACGTATGAGTTCAATTTGACACACAAAATTTTGAAGTTCATGCAAAGATCTTAATACACATTTTCTATGAATTTATCAAAAAACCCCTCATATGGTTAAAAAAAATGTATACTTCTAACACACCATTTTTTTTTCCTTTCTACCCAAAGATGAAAATATGAAGACCAGATCTTGAAAGATCCTTGAGTCTGTTTAAAGGTAAAACTTACTAGTAATGTATCATTTATTTGAGTCTTCATACCTTCACATATTTTTAAAAAGAACTTAAAGTCGAAACACAGCTGAAATGGATACTGCTGAAGAAAAATAAATATGAAGTAGTAAAGTGGTCAATAAGGCTAGGAAAAAGAAAGATTATGTATAAAGAACAAAAGCGAAGACAGCAACAAAAGCTGAAGTGGAGAAAAACTGCAGAGACGGAGCAAAAACTCTTACTCCAAGTTCCCTAGCAGTCAAATGAAAGAAAAAATTACAGGGAGTCTACAACAGGTTCATGGAAAATATTTAACATGAAGAAACTAAGTGTGGATTTCCAATACTTTTTGCACCAAAATAAACTCGTACTTGAATTCCATTATTTCTGTGAAATTTCTTAAGTCTCCGATATAAATTCATTACTGTTTTGTGTGTCATCAAAAGCAGCAGCAAAAAGAAAGAATATTTTTACGATCCAGAAATTTTATGGGGGGTTCTTATTGGCAGGGTATTGAATGATGTAATATATCATGAATTGGATAGTGATTATAAACAAATTTATTTTTTAAAAATATGGGTTCTAATGACAAACTTCAGAAAGATTTTTTTCTGCCAATTTTCCCTTGATCTAATATATATATATATATATATATACACACACACACACACACATACACACACACACACACACACACATATGTATGTATATACATAATTTTTCTTTGTAAAGGTTTGCTATAGGGCACATGTGATCACACAGAGAGAGAGAGAGAGAGAGAGAGAGAAGGCACCCCCTGGAAGAGATGGCCACACCATAATTCCTTCTCCCCCATTCTCCTTTAGGGATTTTGGAGACACAGACACACACACACACATATACACATAGCATGTTTCTCAAACCTACAGGTCTGGGACTAGAACGATGCAGTCAGTCAAGTGGGATCCAGGTGCCTTAACCACCATACCACCAGGTGGCCCCAACCTATTTTACATATTTTTAAGTTATAACAATATCACAGATTAAGGAGAAATCACATTTTCACTTTCAGGTAGTTGAGAATAAACAAGTATATACATTATAAAAAAATCAAGTCAGAAGGAAAACAGTTCAGGTTTACAGGTGAATTCACATAAATGACCGAAGATCTATCAATGAACTCCTACTTGGAGCTGAATAGACAAGGCAACTAACAGGGTCTGTTTTTTATCTTTTCAAACTCTTTCTCAGTTTTGTTTATACAGAGTTCTTAGGTTCATCGAAACCTTGCTAACAGCAAGACATCAGTAAATACCTGGCATGGCCTTATATGAAGAGCATCTTGGATGGGATCACATTAAAAGATCACAGAGACCAAGAAAGAGAAAATTACAGCCAAGCCAAGTAGCTACATTGAGGAACTAATGGTTCCCAAAGCAGAAAATATTTATTGTATTTTTATAGAAAAGGTTTGCAAACCCTGATACAGACTAACTTCATTTCTAAAAAATAATTTTTTTATTTATCATTATTATTATTTTTTAATATAACAGGCAAATGCACTTACCAGAGAGACAGGGAGAAAGAGAGAGGGAGAAAGGGAAAGTACGAAAGCAAACCACTAGGTCTGGGACTCTAACCGCAGTCAGCCATGTGAAAGTCCAGCGCCTTAACCACCATGCCACACACTGGCCCCAACCCCTTGATTTTTAAGGTAGATAAATTGAGTCTCAGAAGAGGGAAGTAATTTGCCCAAAGTCTTGCTGTGACTTGATGACCCCAATTACTAGCTTAGTTTAATTCCTTCCATACTGAAGCACCTGAAAGAGACAGTGGTCCTCTTTGAAGGACAAAGAGCTTCCTGCAAAGGTATAATTTAATCACCATAAGTGGTAAAATGAGGCAAGTCTGGCCCAAATCAAACATGTCAAAATTCGACTAGAAAAAGAAATCCAAATTCTTTATAGTATACTCTAGAACTCCCAAAATCCTGGGTAAAATTAGCAACAAAACTCATTGAAGAAGGACGAGATGGTGGAGTAGTGGTTAATGCAACATTCTGTGATGTGACTACATGAGAAGGCCCAGAGTTCCTGTCCCAAGACCTCCATGTACTCCCCGTGTATGCACATTCCATGATCTGCGCAGGCTGAAGCTGGGAGAGGACTAGGGCGTGAAGACCCTGTCGGAAGTCCTTCTCTTTTTTTTCCTGGGTATCTCTCACTCATCGAAGAAATAAATAAAAAGATCAACTTCTTAAAAACATATCAAATAATCTTCGCATTAAGAAAGTTCTACAAAATAAAAAAACAACAAAAAACCTTGTTCAACTATGCTATAAACACATCTTAATGTATTAAAATCTGAGAAATGCCTTTGTTCAACCATGACAGCACACAACCTATTTTTAAACAGACACAAGTCTACTAAAGCAAATGGAACTACAAAGCGAGGAGATCTGAAACAGAAATGATGGTGCTACTACTTGAGAAACAGTAGGCACTACAATGACCTGTAAGATTACCTTGTGTAAGATGACCACTGCCTACTTTTTACATCAAATAAATACAGAGCATCCATAATCATTTCAACCAGAGTGCTTTTTCATCCCTCCCACAAAAGTGAATTTGAGGAAACAAAATTTGGCTTTAATTCATCAAGCTCCATTAGGTCTCTGAAAAGTTCTCATTTTAAAACCGAGTCCTCATTTGATTTTCAAGCAAGGTCAAGAGAACAAGGCAGCCCAGTAGCGACATATAGGGATGTGCCCGCACCTCTCGGCTGTTACATCAGCGCACCGTGTTGCTATGGTGCCTGACTATTAATTTCTGAAAGGAGGTGATTAGGAAGCCGCAGGATGAACATCAATTGGATGACACCACTTCAGCACCAAACACTGACACACGTTACTCTTGTTTGCGACAAGTTCGTTTTATGAATCACCACTGCTGTGATGTGACTATTCCTTTCTAACTTTAAACCTCCCAAGTCAACAAGCAAAAAGGGACGGATATTAAGTTCGGCTTCCACAAACAGAAGTAAGTTTGAGGGGAAAATGTGACTCTATGGGCCATTTCTTATGGTCAGTCTTTTAAGACTGTCATACTTACACACACACAAATTCATATAGGTCGAGCACACACAGATCAGAAACGACTGAACTGAAATGCCTAGAAGAAGACAGGTGTAACCTTAGGTACAAACCCACTAATCCCATTCACATGTACCTTTTTTGGCTTCTGTAAAGCAATCTTCGGTTATAGTCACCTCAGAAGGTCACTTCTTACCCTGAAAACAAAAGAGAACATCAAAATCTGAATGTCAAGAAAAGTAGTGGCCATCCCTGGCTGGGACAGACACAAGCCCGAGTATAAAGGAACTCGATTATATTTAATGATGAATGAATTTCGGAGTTAATCATAACAAGCCCCATCATCTCCACTCATCTGGACCACAGGCCGGTGAACTCTTGGAGACAATAACATCATCTCGGATGGAAAAAGTCAAGGTGAAACATTTCGAATTTCGCGTACGAACTTTTTCTCATCTTGTCGTCTATCGATTTATTTTCATGTGGAATAATCTGTGACTCACAGGCTTTTGTTTTTGGAAACCAGACAGCTACCTGACTGCGTCTCTGTGTGGTGAACGTCCACATCTCTGATTTCATCAAAACAGAGGCCTTTTATTTTTTCCCCCTCCTCAGAAGACAGTTCTAGACAAGATGTTGTATGGCACTGTGAACCTTGCAAAATGAATAAAAATCCCACGATGTTCAGTTTGGGGACAGACCTGGGGCTAATTGATGGTGAAAGCTGCTCGTTACATTTTTCACTGAGCGTGTATCTACCCAATCTACTGAGTTAAATAAAAATGGTTCAGGTCAGCTGAAATAAACCATTGAAATCGAGCTTCCTAAAACACAAAGAAAGTGGGGAACACATTTTCTCTCCACATCTCCTCCTGCATCTGCAGACTCTCATATGCAAAACAGTGTGTAATCCTTTAAGAAACATTCCAAGCTGCCTCTTTCTGCCCATGTAGCTGAGATCAACATATGGGCTCAAGTGAAAAGAAAAACATTTGTTTATTAATTTAGATCAAGTTACTAACGGAGTAGAGGATTCATTCTCCACCCAATGACCAAATGCTCATATAATTTTCTTCTTAAGATGGTGCGACTGTATCATCCTTTCACTAAAATGTTAATATTCTTTTGCTGGCTCTTCAGAACAATACGTAATGAAGTGGTTTTAATTTTACGGGAATATATCCCGACTTATCCCTCTGCTGTCAGTCCTGAATGTGGAAAGGCAAACATCATTGAAAAGAGGAAAATCTTATTGTGCTAGGGCTAAAGATTTGAAAGTGGCACTTTGGTGTGTGTACCCTTTGAGGAATTGATCCGAGGCCAATTTATGACATTTCCCCCAAGCAAGTGTATGCAGATTCTTGCCATTAAGATTGGAAAAAGATGCAGGCGCTGAGTGAAATCATAATTTTCATGTTTACTGTAAGAGGAAATTGGAGGTTTTCACCATAAATGTTCACCATTTGGGTGGGGGAAAACCCTCGCGCTGGGACTTCAAATTACTATTTTGCAACCTGCCCCAAACCTTTTTTATTTTTACACAAAACAATTCAAATTGAAAATGAAAATCGTGTGCTTTACTGCTGATGTATGTCCCTAGGATTGGTTTCTCCAGTGGTGAGAATTCTGTCTCAGGGCAGGCAGTGATAAGAAAAACAGAGCAATGCTGGCCAGGTCCTCCAGGTAACGCGGCAGGCTGCAAAGCGAGCCCACTCCACACAAACGAGCTCGGTAGAGACGAGGCACACCAATAACCTACACCCCAGAAATGTCTATCTCCAGCACTCATCAAATCTTAAATGTAAAGCAAGTGAACTTCGGCGGACCCCACTCAATTCAAAGCAAGAACGCCCTTTTCTCCCTCCTTTACACTTGAGCTGTTCTCCGATGTATGCGCTCTAAACTAATTTATATGTTTATCTATTGCACTCCGTCTATTTTTGCATGTTTGGCAGTCAGACCTAGAGTATTAGAGTTTGCAATGCAGATGAGACTTGCTATCATATAGGCCTGGCAAACAACTGGACCTCATTAAAATTTAATTTTCCTTAAACCGCGGAAAATGCCTACTTCGAATCAAGTTATCTCTCAGTGCTGAATTCAAACCTGCAGAGCATTTTCAGGTAGGTACCAGGCCTGTTTCGCTACTCACCCAGGTACCCGCTAGAGCATGCAAGTGAACACAAAACAAAAATAGAAGCTGGTTCACCCTCAGTGTTAACTTTGTCCCCCTAGGGGGGAAAAAAGAATTACAAGAAAATTATACGACTGACCCTTCAGCTTATACATATACTAAAGCAAGAGAAAATCGGCTACATTTCATTTCTACATGGACATAAAAATAAAGTCAGCGCTAGGATATTAACTACGTGTCTCCATTTCGAAGTTCTACCAGTTTCAATAATGCACACGCACGCGACACACACACCCTGGACCCCTCATTCATTTCCTTGCTTTTAGCTCTTAGAAAAAATGTACTTTAGCAAAATAATCCGAAAGATGTTGTTCCAGTTTTCCTGAGAAAAGATGAACAGTTCAACAGCTGTTTGCCATCACACTGAAGTAAATGAAATGTGTCAATATAAAAGACAAGAAAATTAGAGGGTAGTACTAGGGCCCGAGTCTACACCATGACTAGCTTAGACGAATCGGAAATCAACAACTAAGACAAAAATCAGTTTCTCCGCCTCCCCCCAGCATAAAACTTCTGTTTCTAAAACACTATTTGCTATTTTTTTAAAACAATCGTTTTTACTCATCAAATATATCAAATATTTATCTGCATACTTACTGGCAGAACAAGTGCCGGAACTCTAATGAAATGATCATATAAAACTTCTAAGTGTTTTTTTTAAAGCTCAAGATGAAAAAATATTCTCCTCCAGCCCACTTGTTTTCTTTTAAAAAAACACTATCCCCATATAAACTGTATTTTTTTCTTTTTTTTTTTTTTTAAAAAAAAAGTTTCCTGTTGGTTTTCAGTTATAAAAGTAAGCCAAGGATACGGTAAACAGAAATGACTTATTTTCCTTTATGTCATTCTCTAGAATAGCAAAGATCCCGTGAACCTTCAGCTAGAACTGTTCCACAGCTTTGTCACTGTTGATTGCAATGGAATCATTTACCTGAAGTTAAATGGGGACCACAAAGAGCCACCAAGGTATCCAGCTTCAGCTGCAATCTCCACGGGTCAGAAACTTAATGTAACTTCTTCCTCTACCTCTCCAAATCCTCCCCCCCAGATTAGAAATTTCTCTCTGTAGAACACTTACGTTATTTTTTTAATGATTAATTTTATCAATTATTATTATTATTATTTTGACCAGAGAGAGAAAGAGAAAATGAGAGAGTGAGCCACCAGGTCTGGGACTTGAACCACAGTCAGTCCTGTGGGAGTGCAGCACTTTAACCACCATGCCACTTGCCAGCCCCAAACCTTTATGTTATTACAACTCTATGTTACACTTCTGTGAGGTACATGTGGCCTTCAGTTTAATTCATATGATTTGTAACGCGAGGTCTAACTGGTATATACTGCTGAGAACCGAGTAGCAGATAAGGATGATGGTGTGTGATCTTAAAAATGAACAATACATGCCACTATTTTCCCCACTAGAAGTATGATCCTTTTTTCATGGTAGCTAAATAAATGATCTGCATTGGGATTTCTGACTTGTATTTTTACTTTATAAAATTATGCAAAGTGACTGAAGAATGGCCAACATATTTCATCTCACCCTTCAGCCCAGCAATACAGATGGAGCCTACTGTGTTCCAGTCTCATTAGGGGTGCAGAAATGAGCAAAGCCAGTCTCTGGCCCACGAGCAAGTGGCAGGTTGGTGGTAGCGGGGGTTAGGCTGTAAGACCCTTTTCTTCTCTTAAAGTCCAGGAACAGGGTTCCCAACTCCTGTACCCCTAACTCCTCCAATTAAACAGCATACATTTCACTTGCAAAAACAGGTCCAAATAGGCCAATTGCCAAGAAACTGCTGCCTCTTCAGGATGTGCATCTTAACTCATGTGGATGTTCCTATCTTCTTTTTCAATGATTTCTTAAAACACAGAACGCTACCAACACACATTGGACTCGCTGAAAAGCTGTAATACAAACGTCATTTGATTTTCTGTAACTAAGTCTACCGGCAAATCCACTTGGAAATCAATCTCAAAGTTTGTCCTATGACCTTGTGACTTCGAATATTAAGTAAGGTTTGTATAAAAACAAGGTGGGGAGGAGGAATAAAAAAAATGAAAGAAAATAAAAATAAGAAAGAAGGAAACTTAGAGATTGAAAAGGGGGGCACTGGAAAAGGAACGAAAGAAACAGCAAAAAAAGAAAGAAAAGAAATTGTTGTGCCCAAGTCCAGGTCTCTGAGACCACAGGTGACCACAGACGCCACCCTGGCTTGCTGGTTTACTAATACACAGGTCTTTGACTTGTCGCTCATCAGAAAAATGTACAAGACTAGATCGACTGCTCTCCACACGCCCCTCCTATGCCTTCAGGTAACATTTTACTTTCTGTCTCCTCACCTTTTGGAATCCTCACCATGTAGAAATGCCTAATTTTGGGGTCCACTCTAGAAGACAAAGATCTAAACTACTGTAACTAAAGTAAGCCACGTGATATAGACAACCCCAGCCAAAGGCTGCCTGCAAAATGACTTCAGGCTGACAGTCCCCCTCAAACTCCACATCAGCCCATCTCCTTGGGAAAAATGACTTTCTCTTACCTTACAGAAAAGTAAAACCCTGGTCATGGTCATGTGAAAATATTTTATAGGTATCCTTTAACAGCCTTTAAATGTTGAAACCTAAAAACAATATTTGCTGTTTTCCCTTTGAAGCTCTAACAAAGCCTTTGTTTTAGATTTACCTTTAGTGTGCAATAAGAGTTAATAATCAAATCCATCCCAACCCCCACAAATGTTAAACAAAAAGATAAAAGAAATGCAAATAGCTATTGTCATGGAAAGTTAAAGTACCTGTCTGTATTTTTAAGTGAAAACTATTATCTCTATCAATCAAAATTTAAGAATACAATAGCGCTAATCACAGAAGGTGCTCTGACGGAATTACTTTTCCTTATTAAAAAAAAAGTATTTTTCCCCTTAAAAACCAAGTATAAAAGTCATATACTTACAATTAGATAGAGTATTTGTAATTTTATTATTAAAAACCTTCAGCAGCCTCACT